AAAAGGACTTGTATGCATGCATATAAGCATAACCAATGGACATAAGACACTGCGGGGGAGGGGAGCCTAGGGGAATGTCAAGAGGAAAAAAAAAAGGAGACCTATGTAATACTCTTTGTAATACTTTAAGCAATAAAAAAAAAGAAAAATCAATGGCAAATATCTTCAGGTGAAGATTAAAAAAAAGAGTAATGTGAGTCTGTTAAAATAGTATCTTTAAAAAATGACTTCTGGCGCAGCCCCCTCCATGAAGCACACCTGTGCCTTTTCTTTTCCCTTCCCTCTTCCCCCTCCCCAACGTTGCCTCCCTCCCCGCCACAAATGACTTCTTTGGGTTTTTTTTCTATTAACTAAAAGCTGCACTTGAAATTTATCTAGAATTTGTGTCAATTTATAGTAACTTATACACATACTTATAGAAGTTAAAGAGCCCATACAAAGAGGAGAGTGAATTGTACTAAAAACCAGGAATGAACCAGTCATTGAAAATAAACACTAAGTATGGCATCAATTTAGAAATCAAGACAAAAAAGTAAAATACCTTAATCCCAAGTCTGAAAATTTATTGGTTCATCAAGGGACAGCATTTCCTCCAGCACTAACTTCTAGGAGGTGTGTGTGTGTGTGTGTGTGTGTGTGTGTGTGTGTGTGTATGAAGGGGGAAATGAATGTGGCTTTAAACACCAAGTGGAACAGAATGAATGAATGAATGAATGAATGAACAAACGAACAGGAGGGATGGCTTGATTGGCTGCTTAGTCTTTCAGCCTGCTTCACAACATGGTACCATGAAATGACAACAGGTATTGGTTTCTGAAGTGGGCAGGGAATAGAATAGAGTTGTTCTAAGACAAAAGTAGAAAGTTAGTTTGCCTTTTAGCCTCCTCCTCTTCCCCCTTCCAATTCTCTATCCAACTGAGAGGCATGTACTGTTGTGGTTAAGAGAGTGGATTTCACAGCCAAACCTCCAAGTCCAGTCCTACCATTTACTACTCTATAACTGTCAGAATTACCTAACCTCCCATTCTCATACCTGAAGGATAGAGATAATAATGGTGCTTACCCAGAAAGGGCTATTGTGAAGATGAGTGAACACATATCAAATGTGAAAGATGGTGCCTAGCCCTGGCTGGTTTGGCTTGGTGGATAGAGTGTCAGCCTGGGGACTGAGGGGTCCCGGGTTCGATTCCAGTCAAGGGCACATGCCTGGGTTGTGGGCTTGGTCCCCAGTGGGGGGCGTGCAGGAGGCAGCCGAACAATGACGTTTCAATCTCTCTCTCCCTCTTCCTTCCTCTCTGAAATCAATAAAAAATAAAAATTTTAAAAAAAGATAGTGCCTGGCACACACAAGCCAATAAGTTAGCTAGTTTTATTGTTACTAGAGGGTCCTGCCTGTCCTAGGCTTTCAGAACCTTTCTCCGTGGTTTACCATCTGGGCTTGCTCCTGCTTCAGCCACATTCCCTATTCCAGCTCCTCCCAAAGGCTCTGTTCTCTACCCAAACACCTCTCATTACTTACAGTACCCTTTGCCAAAGGTGTCGTGCATGACAGGTAAAATGGGTGCTAACATCTTGGGGATACTTTTCATCTACCTCACATGATGATCTAAAAAGGTAACACCAAGAGCTGGGGCAGATATTTTCCATTCACAGCACTAGATACCTTCTCCTCTGCAGAGTCAAATGTGACTGAACATTCAACACTAGAACTTTTTTGAAATGTGGAAGTTAATTGCCATGGAAATTTTCACATTACTCAAATTTGTACCAAGGAAGTATTCTATTTTACCTACTAAAATGCTTGAGTGTCGCTTAGTCCAGATTTCCTTCCATGAATAGTTCACCTAAGCTAGTGAGAAATTGGCTCCTTTTCTGTGCCATCTTTTAAAAAAACTAAATGCAATCAAGTTATGACATTCTCCAATTTCTGTTAACTTTCATCTGGTTTTAATAACCATTCCTTGCCCTAACCCAGTGATGGCGAACCTATGACACGCATGTCAGAGGTGACACGCAAACTCATTTTTTTGGTTGATTTTTCTTTGTTAAATGGCATTTAAATATATAAAATAAATATCGAAAATATAAGTCTTTGTTTTACTATGGTTGCAAATATCAAAAAATTTCTGTATGTGACACGGCACCAGAGTTAAGTTAGGGTTTTTCAAAATGCTGACACGCCGAGCTCAAAAGGTTCACCATCACTGCCCTAACCGGGTTGGCTCAGTGGATAGAGCATCGGCCTGTGGACTGAAGGGTCCCAGGTTCGATTCTGATCAAGGGCATGTACCTTGGTTGCGGGCACATCCCCAGTAGGGGGCGTGCAGGAGGCAGCTGATTGATGTTTCTAACTCTATCTCTCTCCCTTCTTCTCTGTAAATCAATAAAACATATTTTTTAAAAAATAATAACCATTCCTTCCACTGCTTTTGCCAAAAATACTATATAGTATAAGCAATTAGAATGAGTTAAAGAATGTTACAATGAACCTGGCAGATTGTAAGAATTTTATCACCTATCCAGATAGCTGGCAATGTAATTGGTCCTGACGGGTGGAAAGAACAGCACGACAACTTAAAATTATAACCTGAAAATGGAACTTTTAAACAGAAAAATCTAAATTGATTTATCTACACTTGGTGGCCACATACCCTGCAGAACACAGGCCCCCCATTATGGCTGCCACACCAAGAATGAGTCATAGGACACTGAATCTCTGTACCCATTCTCTCCTTTTCTGGTTCTTGACCCAATGAAGGCGCTCATGACATTATAATCCTCTTAATTGCCCCTCGAGGTGAGAGATTTTAATTGCAGCCCCAGGACGCCATGCTTCACTCAACGGAGAAAAGAAACACAGTGCATTTTTTCTCACCTGTCCAGAACAAGGTCTGGAGCAAAGATGAGCTTGCCAGGGTGGTCGATGGAGCGCCACATCAGCCCCACCATTAGCACCTCCATCCAGCAGTTCTCCAAGAGCCGCACTTGGTCGTACAGGCTGAGCTCCACAAAGCCTGGGGAAAGCGAGAGGCTGTGAGATACACCCGCCCTCCTCCGCAGCTCCCTGTTTGTCTAGGAACAGAAGAGCAACTTTTCAAAAGCTTTGAAAACACAAATATAAAGATCTATATTTTAAAGATGTGGTTAAATGTTGACCTAAGAAAGTTTTGAACTTAAGGTATGTGACTCACAATTTTCAGTCCTGAACCCCTTCTAGGAATACATATACTTCATTTAGCCTTTATAAAGGACTGTTATCTGGGCGTATACAGCTCCCAGACAGATGCTAGTAAAGAACAGGAAGCTGGGACCAATCTTTGTTGGTTATATCCCAATAATTGCCCTTCACTGCTGAGAAAGATAACTCAGGCTGCCAGCCAGAGGGGCTGCCTGTCTGGCCCCGGCCACGATTGGGGCTGGGGGGAGTGAGGGGCATGCAAAGAGAGCAGGGCCAGCCCCTGTAGGAAGTCACGGCTTCAATTGAAAGAATTTTTCTGATTGCTTAAGATTTCCCATCCAGTGTTAGAATCACACTTCTCTGCGTAGGAGCGCTGACCTAGGTTATTCTACCCAGAAGAGCAAATATAAAAACTTATAACAACTGAAGCGGGTCCCGACAGCCTGATGGCCTAATAGCACGCATTAGTCAAAGAGCTGGAAAGTAAACAGGTAATCTCTAGGGAGTTGAGCACTTCAAAAGTAAAGCAGAGCTCGCTGATGCTTTCTCCACCAGCCATGATAAAAGGAGCCGGCGGTGTGATATAAAGACAGTCACCAAACCTACGGCCTTGGCATGCAATGGGCTCCAGTTAAAAATCCCAGCTCGGCCTCTCCCTAGCTAGTAACTTAATCTCCTTTTAAGTCTTCGTTTTCTTATACGCCCAATAGGGGTAGCAATGCCTGCCTCTGAGAATTCCCTACAGGTACAATCTCATCATCCTCACTTTACAGATGAGGAAACCATGGCACAGGGAGCACCTGTGGTTCATATCCTTGACAATTATAATGCAAATCTGCACACAGGAGAATGAATGGAGTGATGAATGGAAAGATGGACAAATCCTTTCCAAAGCCACATTCTAAGCTCAATTCCTGTTCCTATGATGTGTACACATTCCGATCTCACCCACAGTTATAGACAATAAGCCTACCAACGGAGACCAAGCTTTTTATACTTTTAGATATTCAACAAGATCAAGGGCAGGTGATATATTTTTTGGTTTGGACAATGACTATATCAACTGAGAGGTCAGGGGAGGAAGGGATCACACCTTCAGACTATGCCTAAGTTTTCTGAAAACTTTTCAAAATACCAGGCTTGAAGAGGGTCTGATGCAGCCTTAGAGTTAGGTGATGGCACAATCTAACTTTATTATGGCACAAAGAAGCTGCACGAGTCTCAGCAATAATTAATTTCACCACTGCTCTCTACTTGGGGTTCTGAGAAATAGCGTTTGGAAAACATATAGAGCAAAAGCTAGAGGAAAGTGCATCAGTATTGTCTCCTATGGGAAAGAGAAGAGAAAATAATATAATTCTGGCAAAGGTGATGCTAGACTATCGAAACAGAACTGGAAACCAGAAAATCCTCAGGGAACTCAAAAGCCAACAAATGATCCCAAGAGATACTATTACCCTAGGCCTGGGTCCCACAGCTCTTTACCCCCAACTGCTCTTCACCAGCTTCTGAACACTTCCAGTCTTTCCAGTTCGCCCAATGTGGGCACTGCCCCCAAGGCCATGGGAATTGTCCCTAGTTGCTTAAAACTTGGAGAGAGACCTCATTTTTAGACATCTGTAAAGATGTGCAAGGAGAAGCCCTTTCAGAGGGTGATGGGTTGCTGCCGGTCTAGTTTAGCATCCTAGATTCATTCTCACAAAAACACACCAAGTCAAATAATAATTAGGTGGTAGTTTTAGTACAATGCAGTACTGCAGGTATGTAGTACCGAAGGCCTAAGGAAGAGATCACATTTCAGGCTGGAAAATACAGGCTCCAAGTGACCACTGTGAATCATCAAACCCATTTTTAACTTGATGGTATTTCAGGTTTACTGATGATTCACATTATTTCAGCTGCAGATTTACTCTCTTTGTCCATATGTATTTATTCATTTACATACTACTAATTATTTCTCTGCTGGAACAATAACTTACAAATTCCTACTTAGCATCTGACAAACCTTTTACTTGCATACTGGTCATACTGCACCCACTCCACCTCACCTGCCTACACCCTCCTCTCAATGTGAGGAGTCCACAGCCAGAAGACTGCCTACACCCTCCTCTCAATGTGTGGAGCCCAGATCCCTTCCTTTTAGACCATGTTCCAGGTCCCAAAGCCCTCAAATTTCCTGCCCAAATGGCCCCAAGCCAATTTCCAGAGTCTGACTGGTCTCTGTCCTCGTCTATTCTCCCAGACAAGGCATGAGAGGTGACCAAAGGCTAGAGTCCATAGGGCAGGTGGACATGCAGGGTTGGGTGTGCACATGGCTAGGTGGATGCAGCTGGGGATGGGTAAAGAAGAGCTGGGAATAGAATAGAAGGGGCCCTCCATACACAAGCCTTTCTGCTCTGCTATGTCTGGTACAGAACCCAGGGGAGCCCAAGAATTCTAAATTGGAACCTGGCCATCCAGGCCATGTTGAAGGTGTAAATGTCGAGCCAGGAAGAAAGAACCTATTTCATTTACAGGTTGTAAATCAAGCTGTCAGACTGTTAAACACAGAGACATCTCTTGTGAACCTCCATTTTGTACTCTTGCCCCATAAATGTTAGGGGCAGGCCTTTCTACAAACACACAGAGAGCCAAGACCCAGAGAGCCCTACCCGGAATTTTCTTGGCCCAGCCAATCATGTGCACCAGTTCCTTGTCGGCCAGCTTGGTCAGGGACATCATCATGGAGGCCTCGGTGAAGGGCGCGCTGGGGCGGCTCACCAGCACCTTGGGCGGCTCTGCCTCCAGGAGTGTGAGCACCAGCTGTTCCGGGCTCAGGGCGCTCCACAGTAGCTCCTTCACTCGGCTCACATGTCCGTTTCTCTTGGCTTTGTTCAGACAGTGCAGCTGCTCATCGGGACTTCTCTGCCTCCGTACTATGCGGTACCCACACCGTTCCCTCCGGGAGCCTAGAGTGGAGAGCAGATAACAGTGCTTTCCCCTGTCCCTCCCCCAACCCAGCATTCAAGTGTCCCGAGTAGCCAGGGTAAAAATGAGTCAGTAACATCATTGTAAGACCAGAGTCCATTCTCAGAATGTGCCTTAGAACAGAAGCCCGACTTATTTTCTGGAGCCTGCAGGGCATGTACCAAAGATTATTATATTTGTGACTATATTAGCAAAATCAGGAACATGAATTTCTAGAGACAATAGACCAGATGATCTTCAGGTCTCCATTTCAAGGTAATCTACGGATACTAAATCCATTTCCCTTTTAAAGAGTGATGACATATTTCAGTTTCCAAACCATGAAATTAGGAATTTTCTTCAAGCAGAAGATGGGGAAAAGTTAGGAAATGAACATTGATATTTCCAAACAGTTATCAAAGAATACACTTTTATAATACATTCTTAAAATGTTTGCATGTGCCAGCACCGGTTTGGCTCAGTGGATAGAGCGTTGGCCTGCGGACTGAGGGGTCCCAGGTTCGATTCCGGTCAAGGGCATGTACCTTGGTTGCGGGCACATCCCCAGTGGGGGGCGTGCAGGAGGCAGCTGATCGATGTTTCTCTCTCATCGATGTTTCTAACTCTCTATCCCTGTCCCTTCCTCTCTGTGGAAAATCAATAAAATACATTTTAAAAAAAAGTTTGCATGCATGTGTTTGTGTATCTATATGTATGTGTATATATTCTTTTCAGGCACACAAAAAAGTATATTTCAAATAATAAATTAATTTTTAAAAATCTGGAAAATACAGAAGAGCACAAATTTTGGCATGTTCTTTTAATGCTTTTTTTACTTTTCCATATTTTAATATATAAAATGATAATCATAATGTATATACTATGATAATCGTAATGTATATACTATTATATAACCTGCTTTTTATAATAAAAAATAATTCAAAACTCATATATATCAAAACAACAAAAGCAACAAAACCTAGTCTACAAATATAACACCAAAAAGCGATTGAAAGAAAAATAGAAATTGACAAATACACTAATATTATAATGAAATATTTTAACATATCTTTCTCAGCACTGACAGAACAGAAATATAGGAGAAAATGTTCAGAAATCAGCTCAATGAACAAAGTTGATCTATAAAAACTCACAGACATTTGCAAAAATTATCACATACTATGTCATGAATAAAATCTTAACTAAAGATGTTTTAATATAGAGAATATTCTCTGACTACAATATAACAAAAATAGAAATTAACAATAAAAATATAACTTCCAAACCCCTACAAATTTAAACACAAAAGTTATTTCTAAAGATCCATTGCTTACAGACCAATGTGAATTAAAATTAAGGAAGATATAAGTCTGAATGTCATTAGCATGGGTACAATTTTATATGAATTTTCCCTCAAAGAAAAAAAATCTAAAAGTTCAAATCTGCAAAATGTCTAGTTTCTGTATTACCAACATTTTGTTCACTAAATTCAATTGTCCACATTTTTAAAAAATTTGTTAATTAGAAAGTATGAGAAAATTTTAATTATTTGCTCCCAAGAACATTTCTCTGAATTTCCTCTTATCCTTGGCTAGTTGCAGTAGAAGGAAGGACTCCATCCATTTAGAGATATTTGAGTCAAACCTATTACTAAAAGAATTACTAGTAAAAGCCTAAAACATACTCATTTATTAGTAATCAGATAGAGTGCTACAGACAGTTAAGATCAATTAATAACCCCATGGTAAAATGGAACAAAATGTTTGGTTTAAGAAAGTACCTTTCTGATCACACATTTCTTTTTTGTAGAGTATATGAGGATAAGGAGTTTACATATAAAGAGAAAGGTTTTGAATCCAAACATTCAAATTTATTTGACCAACTTTTAATGATAAAGCACTTATATACCAGGCCCTGTACTAAGTTATGGGGATTCTGGGATCAATCAAACAAAGCCTTTGACAAGGAACTCACATTTTTCTACCAAGGACATTTCTAGTGTCCTGATTGTGACACTTTAATCTTGACAGAGTCTATGTGCCTGTGAGTGAACCTAATGAGAAACCACCAAATGGTAGTGATCATCTACTGTAAGCTTCGATGTGTTCGACACTTATAGTACATAGATTATCTCATTCTGCCAACCGCCCTAGAGGACAGGTGCCACTACTCTCTCCAACGTATAAAGGAATAACCAGGCACAGGAGATTGCAAATCACTTGCCCAAGATAGAAAAGCTAGAAAATAGCAGAAGCAGGATCTAAACCCAATCAGTAGTCTAAATCCCGAGCTGGCGCTTTAAATCACTCATTTATATCACCTCTCTAGCAAATTTCTTTCACGTATATTTCACCTGTATACCTGAAAAAATGTCTGAGAGATGCTGAGCTCTTGTCTCCAAAAAATGTCTGAGAGATGCTGAGCTCTTGTCCCCCAAAAATGTCTGAGAGATGCTGAGCTCTTGTCCCAACACAGATCAAGTACATGGCTATTCAGACTGTTTCCCCATTCACATTTCAGTGTATCCTTCCAGTGAAGCTAGTCTGAAGTTAGTCTGATGGGTGTCCTCCTGCCATTTAGACAACTATAGCAATACCTCAAAAGAAAAGAGAGAATTGGAAATGCAGAAGAAAAAAATTGGTAACAGAAGAGACATGACTTCTGGATAAAAAAGGGAAGTGGAATGGTGCAGGAGAATCCAGAATGCGTATAGGATCCCTAATCCTCTAAGACTGGATAGAAGGAAGATTGTGAGAGGGTTTAGGGGGAGGGTAGATGAGAAAAGTGCTGGGAAAGTAGAGAGGCATCGTTCAGAAAATTCATTCCTAATTGTCCTTCTCAGGGGTCAGTAAAGGGCCAAATATCCAACTGTTTGTACATTAACCCATCTCATTTCTTCTGTAATCTCCAACAATATTTTTTCTTAGAAATTCCCTACCCAGTGACTTTTTAGCCAAATTCAATTCTCTTTTTCTCATTCTCTTTTCCATGAAAGTTTCTAATTACGTACATCTCTATACTTTGTGTCATGAGTCTGTACTATATCAAACTCACAACTGTATGAGATTTTCAATGGGGGTTGGTGGAAAAGGAACACTAAAATCTAGTGCCAGACTCTGTGTTTTCATACCTATTCCTCACAAAACTCAATTAAGCAGGTATCTCTGTTTCAGAGATAAGAAAACTGAGGGTCAGAAAGGTCAAGTCGTTTGAGCACAGTCAGAGCCAGAAGTGATGAGACAAAAAAAAATGAGATTCAGTCTAAGGCAGTCCAGTCCTCCTATTCTTCCCACCACATACACTGCCCCCTACAGGTGGAGTGTACATGTGCTGCTGCCCTGGTCCTGAACTTTTATCAGGCTATAGCCATCCAACAGATCCTAGTATATAATAGATGCTATGACTAAATTGTAAATCATGTTTTTAAAAATATATGCTTACATTAAATATTGTTAACTTAAACCATGAAATATTTATTTTCAATCTTTTTTCAGAAAGCAAGGCTTTCTCTTTAAGCACCTCTGCCAATTAAATCACATTATTTTCCTGCAGAAGCCATACCCATGATACACTGACACTGAATTTTCAGTTTCAGCTTCTTTAAAACAGAGTAAAACCTAGGCACTCATAAAGCAATCTGAATTCAGAATCCTTATAGGCTTGTAACATCCCCCTCAATCTCACTCACACTTACCTAACACAATCACTATCCGTCCTATAATTTATAGTTTTATCCAAAGCTTTCACAGAAACAACTGTTTTCCCACTCATATTTCATATGTTTGCACAAACTTTCATTAGATTATAGAATTTAACAATTACGATGAGTAGAAACAGGGTTGGGAAGAAGCCCAATGGTTACTGACAAGAATATAACTGAAGTGGTGGGAGCAGAAATGTTCGAGTGTTTTAGAGAGTACCAATACGCATGGGCTTTGAGAGGATGTTTTACAGAGGAAACGGAAAACATCGGTGCTTCTGGGAAGCCAGAGAACCGTGCTTAAATTAAGAGAGCTTCTGCTGTAATTCTGAACTGGGTGAGGGGTCTTATCTATTGTTCATATGAAGAAAAACAGGACAGAGAATGTTAAAGAGACAAAGTTCCTAAAAGATTTTCAGATAGGAAAAAGAGAGATTTGTTTTAAAACTTTTAAATAGTTACAAAGGGAGAAATTACAACTAACCACAGGGAAAAGTTTGGCTAGCAGAAGAGTAAGAAAAGTACAGGCAGAGTTGGTATGAGTGTATAGAAACAAGCAAGTGTGTACAGACAAGTGAATCAAAAGTTAGCTAGGTGGAAAGAACAGGATGCAGGCATTACTGTCAGCTGTTATACTAATGTGCTCATTTCCTTTGTGTGTTTTTTCACTAGTCAATAAGGGAATAAAGAAATTTTCATGTATGTATATATGTATATGTGTGTATGTACGTGTGTGTACATGCAGATATATATTTACACAGGTATATGCACACATATATTGTCATAGAACAAAATTTGTGCTTTATGTACTTTCCATAGTTCCATCATACTTCTGGCTCCTATGCATTTCTTCCGCACTTCTAGAAAGCTATTGGAGGGATAGGCATGAACCTATCTATGCCATCCAAGTAACACAAAATATGCTACTTTCTTGTCAGCTTTAACGTGAGCATTTACCAGACCTCCATCCTTAGACTTTTCAAGGCCTCAGGTAGATGGTCATCTGGCCCGTGTGAGCACTTTAGTGGCTCGAGTTCCCTAATCCATGTGACAGCCTATTCTGTTGTTAGACCACTTGAATCACAGAAAGTTCTTCCCTATATTGGGCCAAAATCTGCCTCCTGTAACTTGCTCCCACTCACTCCAGCTCTATTTTCTGCAGGTACAAGCCATAAGTCAACGCCGCCTCCAATGTGACAGCATACAAACCCTTGAAGATAATTAACAAATCCTAAATCTCCTCTCACCCAGACTACAGGTCCTTTCAGCTTTCCGCATGTCCCACTTACAATAAAAAGGGAAATGAACACTCACCACACTTCACCATCCCGACTTCATAGCACTTCCGAAGTCGGCAGGCTTGGCAGCTTTTGCGCCGGTTCTTATCTATTGTACACTGATTTGTAGCTGGACAAATATAATCATTATGTCCTACAGCAAAGCAAAAAGATGAAGAGTTATTGCTACAATATGTTCCTCGTCAACAACACTGATTATGCTACCCAGCTGAGAGATAAGGGACATCTTCTTGACGACAGGCACAGGTATAAAGGCCAAGTTCGGCCTCATCCATGCCTTGTTAGTAAAGGAAACCTAGGAATATTTTAATACCCTACTTTTTAACTAATAGGTTATTCTCTGCATGTACTTAGAATTCTCAAGAGATACATTTAGAAATATTCTCCTGTGGACATGGAAAGTGACACAGTCACCTGGAAGTGATTTACTCCAAATCACAAAGCTCCTCAAATATCAGGTCACAAATTCAACTGCTGATATTCTTTAACATATACCCCCCCTTTGAGATCTAACATGATATTTTTATGGGAATTCATAGTCAAATAAAAGAACTAAACTAGTCAATAAGGGAATAAAGAAATTAGCAAACTAAGTAAGAACAAAAGAATTGCTATAACAATGGTTGAAGATTAGATTCTTCTCAATTCTTCACTCCCTCCCTTGTGACCTTGTAGTGTGCTAGAGTGGGCAGAACATGCTTCCCCACCAACTGATGATGGACTTGGCCATGGGACTTGCATGAGCCAATGGCATGTTTGTAGATGTGCTGCTCCAACAATATGGCTTGGCCTCAAGTCCCCATAAGAAAATGCCTCAGGTAGCCACTGGCCCACGACAATATGGAGAGAAATGGAGCAGATGTGAACTCAACCCAAGCTTTACGAAAAGAGCCAACCTAACAACTCACAGACCTACAACTAAGAAAAATAATGCTCATTGTAGTAAAATACTAGTTATATTGCCATCTCTAGCTAAAGACAATGGTACTTCTTTTAATTCTTTTAAGGAAGAGAGAAGAAAATTTCCATTTCAGAAATTGTTTCAGACGCTACATGGAGGATGGATTAGAGACAGCAAACTGATGGAGGCCAGGAGACCAGGTGAGAACCTGCTGTGGCTGTGCAAACCAGAGATGAGGCTGTCTGGACTGCGAAATGGTACGGAGAACGAAGAGAGCTATCGGAATCTGAGAGATTTGGGGAATGTAATAGGAGAGAATAGAATTATAATTACAAAGATGAAAAATAAAAGTGCAGAGGATACTTTGGTACCTTATTTCTTAATTGTGTCTTTCTAATAAACAATATGGCCTGAACTTCTTAAATCCAAGCTACAATGGGCCAGAATTTCAACATGGGAAATGGATGAGTCTCAATGATAAATTAAATGGGCAAGTCATAAAAGAAACAAAAAATAAAGAAGATTCCATTTATGTAAAGTTCAAAAATAGAGAAAACGAAACTGCATTGTTTAGGGATGTATGCTTAGGTGGTAAAACCATGGCAAGGACGTCAGAAGTTAGGATTGTCTTACCTCTGTAGGAAGGGAAGGAGCTGTGACTAGAAGACCGCCCTGAGGACTCTGAAGATATCCTATTTCATGACCTGAGCACTAGTTACACAGGCGTTTGTACTCCTTAAACAGGATATAAATAAATACTGGAATAAATACATTCCTTAACTCTATCCTCTCAGAGAGCCTGGAAGTAGGGACATCCAAGAACAATGAACGAACTAGCACCCAGATCTTGGTTTATAAATATCATTCTCTTTTTAAGAAGAAATGGGGCTCTTGGGAGAAACAGTTTATTTCAGGACTGGGGCAGAGATAGTATAAGATGAACCTGAGTGAAGAAGCATTGGTGGTTCAGTGGTAGAATTCTCACCTGCCAAGATGAACCTGAAACAGCTTGTGTGCTGGGAAGTAAAGAAGTGCTCAAGAGTTAATGGGGGTAAAAGGTGGGATATTTGTAACACTTTCAACAGTAAAGATTTTTTAAGTGCCCAAGAATTATGGGTACATCACACACACACACACATATATACGAAAAGTTAAGCAAACAAACTCATAGACATAGACAACAGTATGGTGGTTACAGCGGTAGGGAGAGGATAAAGAGAGTAAAGGGGGCTAAATATATGGTGATGGAAAGAGGCTAGACTTTGGGTGGTGAGCACACAATGCAATGTAAAGATGATGTATCACAGAACTGTATACTTGAACTTATATAATGTATTAACCAATGTCACCCCAATAAATTTAATTCAATATAAAAAGAAAGTGACTTCAGCAAACTTGGGCTGGCAAGGGAGGAATAGCATGGCAAGGACAGGTGAGATGATGACCTAACTGGCCTTGAAAGCAGGTGTGCACAATTTAAAATTGATTAAAAAGATGATTTAAAAAAACTACTCAGCCCAGCAGAAATTTGGAGACTGGTGGGGAAATAGTCTAAACCCAGACAAGGAAACAAGAGGACTGTGAATGGAGGCTCCACTAGTTCAGGACAAGGCAGGCCTCTAGATCAAGTCTCAAAGCCCCCTGGAGTTGAATTCCTGATTTCTGACATCTCCATAAGATGTATTTATTTTCTCTTCCTCAGGAGCCAGCCCACCATCCTGTCTGTTACTCATGCCAGATATTAAAGAAAAGTCAAAGGAAGAAACGATCTTTGCAATTCCTAATGAACACACATTTTTTCCCAAGCTTTATCTTGACAAGAGTTGTAACTAGATGTCTTCTCCCAAGAAGATGGTGATGGATAATTGTAAGGCAGGGCCCATTTGAGTTCTGAGGTTCTGAGGTGGAGATCCACAACTTATAAAATGCTTTACACTTGAAACAATCCACCCCACCCCCAAACACACATGATCCTCTAAACTGCTCATCAAGTACTTTGTGTACAAGAGGCCAGTGGTGAAATTTTGCCAGGCCATCTGCCAAACTATTTGAAAGCAAAAGTGGAAAACTCAAGAAACAACTGACAGTACTCTTGTACCTTGAATGCTTCTTTTAAAAAAGGCCTTACACCCTTCACACGACCAGACTCCATAGTGATATCCTGATGCGTAGTCACTGCAGACAGCACAGACGTGGGCGTCCCTCTTTGAACTTGGACTAGCAACAGGGCTGGCACAACTGCTCCCACTAACCTTCCTTTTCAATGTCTCTCTGGAGGCAAAGAAAATATTCTTGTAAAAGGCATTAAGGGGAAAAGAGAGATTTCCTAAGAAAACACAGAAACACAGCATGCAGCATGAACGTTGCTTCATTTATCTCTGTGCCCTCCAGGGTTCATAAACACTAAATTGTGTTTCACTTACAAGATAAGGAGGATCCAAATGGAAAGTAAAGTAAAAATTCCTTTTTCAAACCCAAATCACTTCATCTGAAGAAAAGTGATGCAAATGGTCATGATTGTGAGTTCTCTCCACAACACAGATCTACAAACACAACTTTTAGTGAGAACTTGAATATTAAAATGGATATTCTAGAATATCATGTTCTAGGTGCTCTAAGTAATCAATGTGACTAATAAAAACCTCATATAATGTATATCTTTCTTCTCACAAAATCATAAGCGACTTGAATAATGCCCATGAACTACAGTAAAGACTAGATTTACCTGTTTACGGGTAAGGTGTGTTCTAGTGATCTTGCTTCACACCAAGGACTCTTTTGAGGTTCTGCATATAGAACTGAAGACTGGCAATGGATGGCTAAAGGAGAGAGGTGTCCAGGAGTTGGCCACAACATGTTTGGGCTTGTGGTCTGTCGACCAGGTCCGCCCTCCGAGTTACTGACACTGCTGGGAACACTGTAATTCATCATAGCCGGGCTGTAGAATGTCATGGCTGAGTATTCATGGCGGCTCTCTACATAGGAGGAAGGTATGTATATGGGGCCGTGCTCCAGGGGAAGGATGGACTGACTGCAATTGTAGGAGGCAGGGGAGTTAAGGCTAGACGGTGAGTTTTTGATATCCATGTCTTGAATAGGTAACATCTGAGAAAACTCCTTGTGAGAAGAGCCACATAGGGACATTATAATGGTCTCGGTCTCATGGGCAGGTGTAATGGCTGTAAAGAGTAACAAAGACATTCCTTAGTCAGAGATACAGGCATAACTATTTAAAATGTTTAAGCATTTATATTAAACACACACACACACACACTGGTATGAGCTTAGAAATATATCCTGAAAGATACACATGAAAATATTAACCTCAGAAGGATGGATATGTGAAGCAAGGGACTCTCATTTTCTACTTCATTCACTTCTTTATTGTTCTTGTTGATAACCAGAACAATTTTTACCATGGGGATGTGTTATAAAATTAAAATTCATAGCCGAAACCGGTTTGGATAGAGCATCGGCCTGCAGACTGAAAGGTCCCAGGTTCGATTCCGGTCAAGGGCATGTACCTGGGTTGCGGGCACATCCCCAGTAGGAGATGTGCAGGAGGCAGCTGATCGATGTCTCTCTCTCATCGATGTTTCTAACTCTCTATCTCTCTCCCTTCCTCTCTGTAAAAAATCAATAAAATATATTTTTTTAAATTAAAATTC